ATTTTCATACATGGGATTTAAAATTGGTGGGGGGTGGTATTGGATTAGCTCTTGGATTGGTGTTCAACCAATCAACCTACACTGACATATGGACCAATCACCATGCACTTATTTCACTCAAAGTCCCTCTTGTGCTAGGAGAGTAAGTTCTCTGAAGCAGGAGATACAAAGGTTCTTCTAAACAGGGTTTGAGGAAATTAAATAGTTCATAGTTCCTGCGGTGTGGAATCAATCAAAAAAAGGGGAGGGTTCCAACAGTTTCTAGAACTATTCGGTCCAAAAAAGCCAAATGTCAAGTATCTTTATTCAACCAAAGGGCAGTGAGAATGTCCCCTTCCAAAAAAAACATCAAACATATGAAATGTTGCAGCATATTTAGAGGTAGGTTTAAGTTTCTGCTTATTCAAAACAGTAATGAAGTGTGTATCATTGAAACAGAAAAGGAGACCATGACACAGAGTGTGTGTGTGTGTGTGTGTGTGTGTGTGTGTGTGTGTGTGTGTGTGTGTGTGTGTGTGTGTGTGTGTGTGTGTGTGTGTGTGTGTGTGTGTGTGTGTGTGTGTGTGTGTCTGTGTGTGTTAGGCGTGTATTATGAGTGTACGGATGCTTGAGTTATGACCTCACTAGTAAGGATTCCAGGGTGGTCCTTTCATAGCCTGTCAGACACTTACACACACAAGACACACTTTCTTCTCTCTCTCCACGTACCCAGATGTCTCACACGTTTCTAACGAGCATGAAGGGAGTGAGTTGACACACACTCGAGCACACAGCCAGCGTTTTGTCCTCTGTCAAACACCCAGGGTTCAACTCATTGTGCACACAAACTCACTAAAATGCTTCAACAACTTAGTCACTCAAACTTTCGCTTTTACACTTATACACACCCAGGTGCAGGGACACAGAAATCTAAAATCCCCTCTTTCTGTTTTTTCTTTTTTTTGTCTGAATGTTTTCTTTTTACAAGATCAACCCAACTACACACATTCAAACACAATGACAGGATCTCTCTCTGCAGGCTCCAAAGGTCTGATGAAAGTGTTGGGATTGTGTACTGAGAGGCCACTGACACTTCCTCCACTTTCTAGTACTGACGAATGGCCTCAGGCATCGAGTGCCCCAGTGACTGCTCCCTCGAGACGTTTAATGACCATAAGCTGCAGATGACAAATAGAATAAATGGGCTTTCATCTGCGATGGTGGTTGCCCTGGAGGCTCCCTTGCTATGGATCTATCCTGCATTAGTGCTGCTGATGTAACTCATCCTTTCACTGCCTCTTACTGTAATGGCTGAGTTATTGCTCCTCTGGATTCAAGTAATGATTAAAAACCTCAAATTGAGGTTCCATAATGCCCTTTCTAAAATAATTGAGTATCACCACAGACACAGACCCATTACAAATAGGAAATTGATGCTTTCTGATCACTTTCTCTCAATCAATCAATCATTATTTGTAAAGCGTCAATTCATAACAAGTGTTATCTGAAGACACTTTACAAAATTGCATATGGGATACTATGCAGGCAAGAGGGTTAGGGTTAGGGTTCTATTCCTCCCCACTTCCTTACCCCTAAGGTAGCATCGGAGCAGGCTGTGCATGAATGAGGACGGCGATGGTTGTGGGGACGACACGGTCCGATGGTGGTGGCTAGGCGTCAGGCGGAGGTTGGGACAACACGGTCCAACAGGCTGGGCGTCGGGCAGTGGTTGAGGGACGACACAGTACGATGGTGGTGTCTGGGCGTCGGGCAGTGGTTGAGGGATGACACAGTACGATGGTGGTGTCTGGGCGTCGGGCAGTGGTTGAGGGATGACACAGTACGATGGTGGTGTCTGGGCGTCGGGCAGTGGTTGAGGGATGACACAGTACGATGGTGGTGTCTTGGCGTCGGGCAGTGGTTGAGGGACGACACAGTACGATGGTGGAGTCTGGGCGTTGTGCGGTGTTTGGGACAACACGGTCCGATGTTGGCGGCTGGGCGTCAGGGATGTCAGGTGGTTGTTGTGCCAGAGCACCTCACTGAAGGTTGGGGGAGCTCCGTCTACTCGAGAGCCTGGCTTCTGGTCTACTGGGCTACAGGAACCTACTGAGAAGCTGAGAGCTCCCAGAATGTCCTGATGAATGTCGGACACATTATTTTCACATTATCTAATAAATATAAGTAGTTTCCTTTAAGATTAGATTTCTTGACTTATAGCTTGTGATCTTAAATCATACTAATGAAGTTCTGAAGTAACTCTGAAGCTTACGTTGGTAATTGATGTAGAAAAACGTGATGAATAAAAACACAGCCTTATTAAAGCAAATCCAGGCCTGTGTTTATTTTTGACATGTCTGTTCAGAAATCAATGTGCAGAAACAAAGCAGACACATCCGGCTTGTCTGGAGCAGTACAGCATTAGCAATAATTCAATACAGCTAATAGAACGTTCCATTGCTATTTCAGTGCATGAAATAACATTTAACAGCCACCTCAAGCAAACATGTCCGCCAATGGAGACCCTTATCGGCCCTCCTCAGGAAATTGGAAGTATAAACATAGTCCCTGACAGCGTTTATTATTTAATTGATTAGGATTACCTTCTTTATGTTATTGGTGCCCTGCCATGCTTCATATACATCCGTTTTGGCTAAGAAATATAAAGATGCTGTATGCTCCAACATTCTGAGCCAGTATACTGTATAATTGACTCCTAATTGCTTTTGGCTTGATTTAGAGCGTAGAAACAGGCAACATGTAGAAGTTATTGAATCAGATACTATGGGGGAAAAAGCATAGCAGGGAAATAAATGATGGCTTGTTGCTACCGTTACATTTAACGTATTATGTAACATATCTTGTATATTATGGCCATCAAAACAATACGTTTCCTATGAAATATAGTGCAAGGTGCAAGAGTTGAATTTTTTTTTTTTGCAAACTTCAGCTTTCATAGTTTGCAACACTGCCTCATTTCCCACAAGAATGAATTTATTTTTCATGTGACTTTTTTCAGAGGTGAAGGTTGGGGTAGTTTTTCCAACATTGTAAATTAGACCAGGAGGGGGGAAGAAATCCTTCATGTTTGCGGTTCAGTTTTGGCAGAGGGAAGATGTTTACTGTGTCACTGCAGGGAGAAACGAGGGTTTAGAGGATTTGAGCGGCCTCATAAAAAAGTAAATCAAATCAGAGGGATTTAAAAACACTTTGCCTTCAAAGCAGAACTTCTATTTGTTTCTGCAGTCCTTGTCCCCTCTGTATTTGTACCCCTACTCTCTATGTCTCTGTCTGATTTACACACCCTCCCATCCTCTTATCCTGAGGTCCTGTTTCCGGTAAAGGATGCATGAGAGAAACCAGCATCTGTGCCGGACTGGAGCTCATTACAAACACTCACACTCACACACACACAAACACACACACACACACACACACACACACACACACACACACACACACACACACACACACACACACACACACACACACACACACACACACATATGCATTCTTGTTAGCACTCTTTCTAAGTGTGAAGGCTGGAATTTTCATAAAACTCAACCAGATGCAAAAAAAAAGTTTCAGTTTCATGGCCCTCCAGTGTTTGTTCACACAGCATTCATACCCTAGACAAACACAAGCACAGTGTAGCAAGCAGGCAGGCACGCACACAGAAAGACACACACCACCTTTGTGTAGTGTTGCTGTTCACTGTGACTTGTAGACAATACAAGGTTTGTTTTCAACAAACCTGTTTCGATAAATTGCTCTTATAAAGCTCCTTTTCTATCTTAACAGTGGTTGTTTTCTTCATATGTAATAACTCAGTCACAACACACAGACACACAAACAATGACAACTAATCATTTGAGGATAATCCAAAGGGGATTTTTGTTTTCCCATGTTTCTGGAAGCAGTTTAACTCCACATGTTTCCTGAGTGCTGCTTTGTGTTGAAGGTTATGAAAGAGGAATACATGCATTATCCCCTGAAAGAAGAGATTAACCCTTTCTTGACCATTACTTAAAAGTGGGTCATGTGCTCTAGAAAGTAAAGACACAGAGGATATTCCCCCCATTTAATGTGGGAACACAAACCGTACTGTACTCGTTTCGTACTCAGGTACCATGTCTGAGTCCGCTTGAAAAGGTGATCTCTGGCACCATTCATGTGTACTCGAGTACGGTCCGCGGGAGATGTGAACGAAACTGTGCTCAAACAAGGAAGTTGACCGTTAAATGACTTAATTTTAAACAGCTCCTGTTGTTTCAAAAACCATTGTATCTGTGCAGCATGTGCCCATTTCATCCTTTGAGTTGCACGGTTTGGAAGTATGAAGAGGTTCGTTGTTGGTGTCTATCTACAGTTAACGGGATGTACCCAGCCAGCCAGTGGCTGCTATGGTTGCTTCTTCTTCTTTCTTCTTCTTTGTGGATTTGCATACCAACACTGTGCACACTGTGACCTGTATTGTACTGTTTACATACACAACTGTACTTAGGCACGGAACAATGTTATGTTGTCTGTGTCTGTGTTTTAGGACAATGCATTTGCATTCGGAGACCTTTGTTTGGTACCAACGCGTACCAAATACATTTCAGATACATTTGAGCTCATCTTTTCTGGTTAAAGGTTGCACAGTAACCTGCACAGTAATCTGAATACAAGTTTCCTGTATATCAAACCCTTGGGACCTGGGAAACTCCAAACTTCTTGTATATCATACTGTAATATCATAAATTTGACTCATATGGGATGGTTCAGTTGCAAACTAGGGTTGAACAACCAGATGTGATCTCACCATGCAATCTTGCTTTTCTGTGGAACTCTTATTTGTGGGAGTTGTTTTGAGAAAATGGGCATTGTTGCAGAACAGTGTATCTGAAAATAACCCCCCCCCCCCCAAACATCACCATTTGTAATCAAATTTTTTACAACCTTAACATCTCTTTTATAGCCTTAACATCTTCACTATCAGTGCTGACTTTTCTTAACATTTAACATGTTTTCTCCAACAGAAAAGCACCACTTCCACCATGGATGATGAACAGTGTTACTACAATGAGACCATCGCCTTCTTCTACAACCGCAGTGGCAAGTACCTTGCATCTGACTGGAACACCGTCAGCAGACTGGTGATGGGTTTGGGAATCACCGTGTGCATCTTCATCATGCTTGCGAACCTTCTCGTGATGATCGCCATCTATGTCAACAGGAGGTTTCACTTCCCCATATACTACCTGATGGCAAACCTGGCAGCTGCTGACTTCTTTGCTGGACTTGCATACTTCTACTTGATGTTCAACACGGGACCAAACACGAGGCGTCTTACTGTTTCCACATGGCTGCTGCGCCAAGGCTTGATCGATACCAGCCTCACAGCGTCCGTGGCCAACCTGCTAGCCATCGCCATAGAGCGCCATATCACCGTGTTTCGCATGCAGTTACACACACGCATGAGTAACCGACGTGTAGTGGTGGTGATTGTCATAATCTGGACCATGTCCATAGTTATGGGGGCAATCCCCAGTGTGGGCTGGAACTGTATCTGTAGCATTAGCTACTGCTCCAACATGGCCCCACTTTACAGCAACTCATACCTGGTTTTCTGGGCAGTGTTTAACCTAGTGACATTTGTTGTCATGGTGACGCTTTATGCCCACATCTTTGTCTATGTGCGCCAGAGGACCATGAGGATGTCACGGCATAGCTCTGGACCACGACGCAACCGTGACACCATGATGTCCCTGCTGAAAACCGTTGTGATTGTCTTGGGTAAGAAATATATATAACCTACCTACCTATGTACCTGTCTGTCTATCTTTCGGTCTGTCTTGTTAGCGAGCCAGCTAGCTTTCTACTTTCTAGCCTATCTATCTCCATCTAGCCACACTATTACTTTACACTTAAACCTCTTGTGTCTTTGTCTAACTCTTCTGGGTATTTGTAGTCTGATACCTCTGTAATGGTGATTTCAGCATTTCAGCAGCAGCAGATGAACAATGAATCAGTTGATGGGTCTTTTCTGTGAGGCTGTATCATTCAGTGCACAGTCCATGCTCAGTGTTTGCCTAGCAAAAATGAAAGCCTCTAATACATCATCTCAGGCGCCCCTTCCTCCTATTATACTATAAGGCTCGTGTGCCTTTATTCTGTGTAGAAGATACCGTTCTATGAATGGAATAGTGTAGATATTGGAATCAAAGCACTCGATGTGGTTTGTTGACTTTATACAATGAACTCTATTTTTCTTAACTGTGAGCAAAATCCCTTCCCTTGTTTCCTGAAGAGAATACATTCGGAGGTTTAACAGATGCCCAGCTCTGATTGGGAACAAATGGTGGTGGGAAAAACCCAAAGACATCATCTTCATGATGTTCGTGATTGTACAGCAACTTTAATCATTTGCATGTTTGCTGAGCCAAAACCAAATTCCCAGATCTAGCTGCTGACCATTACGACATCAATAATCAAGTGTGATGTCACAGTGACATATTATATCACTATTGTTGCTATTTTCAGATTTCTGCTGGTCTCAAACTAAGAAATGTATAAACGAATCCACACAAGCATAATGCAACGTTTAATGTTGGCAATGTTTAAGTCAATTAAAAGAAATTTTATGGTAGTCCCACAATCACCTTGTCCATGTTATGGAATTGTGAAGTCCAGGGGTTGGACAGTCTTACTAGTATGCTTTTTCACCTGAGGTAGAAATAGTGTCCAACCCTTAAAAATCCAGAATTATGGGGTGCTGGTGGCGCAGTGCGCGCATCCCATATATGGAGGCTATAGTCCTCAACGCGGGCGGCCCGGGTTCGAATCCAACCTGTGGCTCCTTTCCCGCATGTCATTCCCTACTCTCTCTCTCCCTGATTTTCATCTCTATCCACTGTCCTATCTCTCCAATAAAGGCACAAAAAGCCCACAAATAAATCTTAAAAAATAAATAAATCCAGAATTATGAATTATATAGCTATCATTACATACAAGTATTAGAATGGTGTTGCACTAGTATGCAGTCTGATTTTTTTGTGCTTGTTCATGCAGGGAAGAGGACCCCCTCTGTCAAACGGAGCCAGTTTTATTTTCAACCTTGAGCTGTGTGTGCACTCTGACAGCTTAATGTCTCCAGCATCCAGCAATGATATGTTTCCCACTTTGATAGTCCACATACCTCTACAGTGCTTTGTAATAAATACACTGATTGCTTTCATTAAACATGGACTGACTGTAGCACAGTAGCTTGCTACCTCAGCTGTGTGTAAAGTAAGTTGGAGTGTGAATTGTGGGAAAAGCACTTCTTTCTGCCTTGAAGCAGGATGTGTTGGTCCTAGACAAAACATACCAAAGGATTCTCTGTGATTTGTCTCCTATGTGCTGTATAATCTCATCCTGTTGCCTCTGTTATCTTTGCTTCACCCTTAATTCAAAGCAGTGGACAACAGAATCTGCTCTGCAGCCTATAGTATGTTTAAGACACACGTTTTTTTCATAAAGTTTCTTTGTTTATTTCCCTTTATTTAACCTGCCTTGTATAGGTCAACAGTTTTTCAGGGAGGGAAAGTAACTCGCTTTCAGTCGAATCTGCAGACATCTTTGTGTGTCCTTATGGCTATAGAAGTAAAATGCATTAGTAGTTAGCATATAAGTGAATTACTTATGGCTGTAACTATCTCCAGACTTCTACTATATAAGACAAATAAGGAACGTTTAAATTTGATTAATATTGATTATCTTTCTGTTTTTTTAGGTAACTTTTTAGGGTTCTTTCTGGGAAGTTACAGTTGTGACACTATAACACTTTAAATTATGATTTAGTAGCTCTACATGGCCTGTGTTCAGAACACCAAATCAACAGAATCAAGCTGCCACTGTCTTTTTCCACTGTTAAATAGTTGAAACTCTTTGTGACACTGCAGCTGCCTTCTTGTAAACACTATCTCATGAGAACTCTGAGTCATACAGTAACACCAAAACACACTTGAATGAATTATTGTTGTGTTCTGCTACTATCCCTTAACAAGAAACCCTTTTTGAATAAACATGGTCCAAATTCTGTCTGGTGACTTCATCCTGACACACACAGCAAATGGTTCATTAGAAACTAAACAGAGTGAGAAATGTAGATTCTTAATATCATGTTCTGCAGGAAAGGCCTGGGTTGGGGTCAATGGCTGTTCAAGCTTTTGATTTATAAAAGCCCAACATGATCTTATAATGAGTCCAGAAATAGAAGATGTCATGTAAACAAAACAGATAAATGAATTAGTGTGGGACACTTAAACTACTGCTATAATGGAAGCTAAGGGATAGCTCTACTGCAGTATACCAATTTTTTTAATATGTAGCATTACAAAACAAAACATGGAAGCTTTGTGATGTGCCGTGGCCTGTTGCACCAGATATATTGTTGTGTTTGTTACAGTGCTACATCTCGTTCCTATTTTGAGGAGGACTGTGCACCTACTAGGAGCTAGGTGTTAGATTGAAGTTATAACTTCACAGCTTGTGCAACACCTTCAATGGAAGTAGTATGCAAACTCTGTCGTAAGTTAGAACTTATATTCAAACTAGGCAACATTGATGGTGCACAATTGGTGCAACTCGGTGCTGAAGTGGATAAATTAATGAACAGCCACTGTGAAGACAAAACTTAGATCTATTTCTGTAATTTAATGTGGTCAAATATTTTGTATTCTTTGGCTAAACTACAAAATAATATATTTTTGATTACTTTGGGCACCAAGTGTTCCAAAATATAATCAACAAATCTTATTATTATTTAAATCATTTTGGTTCTAAAAAAATTCATATTAGTTTCTTTTCACTTCTGCCAATACTTTCTTCGGAGAGAAATTCACGCGAGGGTGTGATGTGTTTTGGTTCTGTCTGGAATCCATCGCTGTGGTCGAGTGAGATCATTTTCAGGAGGATATAAGATTTTTCTGTTTTTTGAGGTAGTACTTGTTTCAACTAGATTTGCATGGCATGCATTTTTTCACAGCCCTTGCGCACCCTTCCCTCCCGTTTCATTAAGAAAGATCCATGTTTGCTTGTTTTTGTCTACCTGACCTAAGCAAGACAGAAAAGGGGTCAGAAGTCATTCAGTCTGTAGTGCGTTCAAGTTGCCATTGAGTTTTATTATGTTGGACTTTTTAGGGGGAAGATTGAGATTAGTTGATGAGAAAGTAAACCTCAGAGCAATTCCCAATCCAGTTCTTCCCATCTGCTGGCCAGATGAGAATTACTGTTCCCCTGTTGCCTGCTGTCCTCTTCACTTGGTCCTTCTCAAGATGCTTTAGCAACCAGACATGGGTGATTTCTTCTCGGAAAGACAGGATAAGAAGTTTGAAAAAAAAATGTGGTTTCACACACTTGCACACATGCTTAGCAGAGGCACAAACTGTACATGTACACACTCACATGAACCCCTCAGGGTCTGGCAGATTCTCTACATTCACATAAACTCTGATGTACGCAAGTAGTGGAATGATGGGAAAACAAAAACCACTTAATATGTTTTTCCGAAGACTAAACAATAAGGACATATGAACACGTGGCAGCAGCTTTCAGTCGCACACATACGAATGGAAATATAATGTATTTTTCCCATTCCTCAAAACTATTTGTTTTGTTTATGACCACTAGTAAGCTGTGGAGGAAATCATCTTTATACTGTTGGAATTGGTGCAAAATTGGTTCCTGTGAATGCTTATAAAGATGCACATTCTTGCACTTGAGCCTGCAGGCAAATAGAAGACTCTCCCCACAAAGTTTCACATCGTGTCAAAGACTCTGGAGGTGGCAGTTACTTGCAAAGAAAAGCAGAAAGTAAGCATGGATTTTCGCAAAACTTTTCAAATATCTTTGCATTTGTTTGGAAAGAAAGGAAAGCCCTTTTAGTTTTTGTTAAACCGAAATCTCATCCAGGCACGTTTAGAAGAAAAATTCACAAAAATTAAGGATTTTATCTATTTACCTGTGCCTAATTCCAATTTTGTTGTTCCATTTTAATAGATGCATCAAAGACACAAGGAAAATTACAACTATTAGGCAATAGACCGGATTCTGATTTGATTCGCTTTAAGAAGCCAAAACTTTTTGAAATGAGGACTTACATAATATAGTTAAAGTGACTCAAATTGGAAAGAAAACTTTCTTCCAATTAATTGTCCAGGTTAAATCTTATAGAATTCTCTTTGTACAGCAATGGATAATATCGGGCAGGAAGGGCAGTGCCCAACTCAGAATTTTGTCAATTTGGCCGCTGGTGTTCTTTTGCTGAAAAACAAGTTTGAATGACACCAACAGGATTCTCTTCATCACTATTCACTGAGTCAACAGCACTGTCTAATGATCCATGACCCTTGTTCACTATGTGTTCATCTGTGTGTCAGATGTTGGCTCATAACGGGGTCCTCTGTAAATGATTTGATTATCTGAAATCCCATGGTAGTGTATGCGGTCGCATCGTCAGACAGTGTGGAGTGCCAGGGCATACCATCAGCTAACACATGCACACAGATGCTGTATCACTGACATACACTTATTCCAAAATCACACTGTATAACCAATCAATGTTCAACACAGGAACTCACTGGCTTTTCTTTCTGCATCTGCAATGCATGACTGAGAGCAGAACCAATCAGAGCCTTCAAACACCATCCAATCCACTGTCAAAGGGCATCTCACAATGTCACCTGTTTTCTGTGTTTGAATGTGTATGTGTGTGTGCGTGTGCGTGCGCGTGTGCGTGTGTGTGTGTGTGTGTG